GGGGGGGGGGAGGGAGAGGTTTAAATCTCAGCCGGCCATGAAGCAGACTGGGTAGTCTTGGACAAGGCATTCCATCTCTGTCTCCAGGGGTCATTTCGTAGAAAAAGAGGTGCAGGAGCTCATTAGCATAACTCATTAGCATAACTTATTTGCATATGCCACACCCCCTGACATCACCAGAAGTGTGTCAGAAGGTAACACCCACCGCTCAGGCTCCACTGGACTGTTTTGGATTGCCAGCTATTGGGGGTGGGGGGGAACGTGCAGCTCTGTCCTCGCAGAGGAGGGAGAGCTTGTACCTGAATAAAACTTGGTCTTAAAGGTGCCACTGAACTGTTTTGGACTGGGGGGCCGGGGGTGGGCTCTGCAACTTACCTGGCTGCTTCTTGCTCTGACTGAGGGCTGCTGGGAGAAGGGGGTGGGGCTTGTTGCATGTGCCCGCCCCCTGGGCTCTTTACTGCCGGAGCTCCGCTCCTGTGCGCTCCTGCAGGAAATGACCCCTGTCTGTCTCACACATGTGCACAGAGGGAGAAATGCCTTTTCTAAGTGGTGCCTGGGAGGGAAGGCAGCGAGGTGCAGCCCCATCTTGTCAGATCTGGGAAGCTAAGCAGGGTCAGTACTTGGATGGGAGACCACCAAGAAAGGCTCTGCAGAGGAAGGCAACAGCAAACCCCCTCTGCTTCCCACTTGCCTTGAAAGCCCCTTGCTGGGGCACCATGCACCAGCTGTGACCTAACGGCACTTGACACCCGCACAAGATGATGCCCACCGCCATAAGGGTTTCCCCTTGTTCCACTCATGCTGATGTGTGGAGCGTCAATTAGTCAACCAGCCCTCCCTAAGACTTTGTCGTGCAGAGGGAAGTTCTGCTCAAAATGCACCTTTTCGCTCAATAACAATCTCTCGAAACCTTTGCCTACGCTAACTTAATTTCCCATATTTTTAGGACTGAGTTTCCGGAACCGTAGTGAGATGGTCTCTTTCTGCGTCTTCCCCTCTCCTGATAAAGTGAGCTCGTACTCTTGAAAGCAAAGAGCCTGAAAACGTTGTGGGTCTCTTAAGGTGCTGCTGGACCCAGAATTCAGCTGCTCCACCGCAGACCAACACAGCAGCCCGCTGAACTATCTTCCCCTTTCCTGTTTTGCTTTGTGTGTGTGTGTGATCTTAATTTCTCATGAGCCTCTGGCTAACTTTACTCTTTTTTATTCTTATGCGTGCGTGCGTGTTGAGTGTGTGTGTGCACCTAGAAGTCATGGAAACCTCTGGTGACTGACCACTACTCGGGGCCTGGAGTAAAGCCTGCCCCCGCCTCCTGCCTCTGGTATTCCAAGGAGGTCTCCCGTACTTGCCAGAGTCGACCCTGCTTAGCTTCTGAGACCTGAATAGAGCGGGTTGGCCTGGGCTATCCAGGTCAGGGCTGGCTAACTTTAATCCTGAATGATCCCTCACATGCTTTTAACTCCACACTGAACACTGGAGACTCTTCTTAGGGGAGGGTCCGTGGCTCAGTGGTGGAGCACCCACGTCGCACGCAGAAGGGCTCGGGTTCAGTTGGCGGCACCTCCCATTAAAAGTGTCAGGCGACGTGACGGTCCTCAGCCCGAGACCCGGGAGAATAAAGCAGGGACCACGGTGGAATAACACCAGAGATTCTGCAGGATTCTTCTCATGGACATTCTTTTCAAGCACAAGACGCAAGCATCAGAGAATCGTCACGCTTGTGTAATGGACTTTTCAGTGCTTATTGTTAAAGGGGTATGTTCAATACATATGTGAAAGTACTTAGGTGAATCCTGAACGTTATTGTTCTTCATTTGTTAAAGTTTTAAATAATTCTTGCAGTTTAGTTGTCAGTACATACTGACAATTGGGTCTTCACGGTATGTGTTTTCCCCTGCCTTCACGGAGACCCAGGACAGCCACTGCCAATCAGAGTGGGCAATGCTGACCTCTTGACTCAGTAGAAGGCAGCTCTGCGCGCAAGGTGAGAGACAGGAGCTTCTCTCAGGCTACCGGACACACTCACAACACAAGTCAATTTTGGATCAGGACCTATTGCTGTACTTACACAGAGTCTCCTTGCATGAACAATTCCAGTCTCTCTTTCAACAGGTTTTCTTTGATCCATACAAGGAGGCATCTAATGTCCCCTGGAAAGAACAAAATGTATTCATTTATTACTCATGACGGGTTTTTTTTTTTTAGCCATCACTCGCGCAGAGGGTCTCGTGGCAACCTGCAACACTTAAACAACACTTAAATGACGAACAGGAGAGATGCCAGCGCATTTGGGATTCACCATCCATGTGGAGTAACATGAAAGGCCAGCAATTTCCTCTTTCCTCCTGCTCAAAAAAGGGCATCCATCCATCCAAAGCCTTTTATTGGCATATAAATAAAGATACAGTAATCGAAATACAAAATCATGCATAATAAAATAAAAATTGCAGAGTAACATCATAATGGAGCTGCGGTGGTTCAAGTGGTTAAGACGCTGAACTGCAGGCTGTGGAAGGTCGGTAGTTCAGCAGTTCGAGACCCGAGTGTGCCGCATGACGGAGTGAGCTCCCATCTCTAGTTCCAGCTCCTGCCAACCTAGCAGTTCGAAAGCAAGAAATTGCAAGTAGATAAATAGGGACCACTTCGGTGGGAAGGTAACAGCGTTCCGTGCACCTTGGTGTTTAGTCATGCCGGCCACATGACCACGGAAACATCTTCGGACAGCGCTGAGATGAGCACCGCAACCCTAGAGTCGGACTCGACTGGCTTTCGAGCAAGGGAACCTTTACCTTTACCTAACATAATAATAAAACCTAATTCATAATATGATTTGTCAGGCCGTAGGACCATGGCACTGCAGAGAAACTCTGCTACTATTTCAGTTATTTCTGTATCTGGATTATCGAGCCAGAAAAGGATCTTAAAATCATCAGGGGTCTCTATAAATTGGCTTAAAATGGGATATAGAAGATCCCAATGGGACGCCTGTGTTTGTTCGGCACTTCCAGTGTTCAAAAAGCTTCACGTGCGTGTTCACAGTACTCCTCAAAAGAACCATGCGAGGTCGGCCAGCATTCTTATCCCCGTATTGCAGACAGGGGAACAGAGGGAAGGGTCGAATGGTGTTGCCTCAGCCCACCTGGGATGCCTGTGGTTAAGACTTACCTTGGGCAGTCTCAGAGGTCACTGCCTAAGAATGAGCCACCCGGCCACACACCTCACCCATGCCTGTCCCGTCTCCTCCACCATACGAATCCCAAAATTTCTAGCCCATCTTTCTCTTAAAAAGCGAGCCCCTAGAGACAGCAAAGATTATTCAAGCACATTCAATAAAACAGACTAATCAGACTAAACAAAAAAAATCTTAATAGCTAATTCTTGAAAAAAGGATAGCTTTGCACTCATTTCTAAGCTGCAAAGACCAGGACTTAAGAGGGACATTTTTGGGAAAGTGTGTATGGGCCCATGGCCAATAAGTCTATGCTAGACTTTATGAGGGCCCTGGTGGCTCAGAGGTTAAGACACGGGCATCGAGAAAGGCCTGAGGCCGCTGTAATGTCTCCGGTGAGCAGAATCACAATCCAGGATTCTGTGGAATAATCTGCTTTATCTATTTTTATGTAAAACATTTACTTCTCGATCAAAACAAGCCTGAACTCTCCCCAGGAGCTGAAATGACTCAACGGACAACAATGCTAGGACAAGTGGAAGGCAGCAGGAAAAGAGGAAGGCCCAGCATGAGATGGCCGGACCCCGTCAAGGAAGCCACAAGAGGCCCTCCCGTCTGCCAGACCTGAGCAAGGCTGTGAATGAGAGGCTGCTCTGGATAATGTTAATCCACAGAGTCGCCGTAAATCGGAAGCAACTGGATGGCACCAGTGCTCCCTCTAAGCGGCGGAGTCCTGTCTACCGCTTCGGTGGGGAGGTAACAGCGTCTAGTCATGCTGGCCACATGATCATGGAAACGTCTTCAGACAGCGGTGGCTCTTCGGCTTGGAAACGGAGATGAGCACCGCATCCCTAGAGTCGGACTCGACTAGCTTTTGAGCAAGGGAAACCTTTACCTCAAACGTAGGTAGATCCCGGAACATGGCCTCCTTTGATGATCTCAGTGGACTGCTTTTAGCTATGCTGTTCCCACCACCTGGGGAAAAACACGACCTTCTGCTCTCTAGCCATCAAGAGTTATCCATCTATAAAAGGCCCACTGGAGATATTGCTGCCGGTCCCCCAGAAGACATTTCACCCATACATATGAACATAAGAGAAGCCAATGTTGTGCCCAAAACATTTATCAGCTGCCTTTATTCCTTATGGACCTCGAGGAGGCTTGCAATATAAGTAAAATACATACGATAAAATACATAAAAACCAAAAAAAAAAAATTCACAAATTAGGACTGTCGGTAACTGAATCAAATGCGGTCCTAAATTATGTCGCCACTGCCACGTCTCTTCTTCCTGCAGCACTGGCTCTGCACCTTGGTCCCCCTTTTAAAAGCTCCCCCCCCCACTCCTTACGGCATCTCCTTCCTTCTCTCACCCACATCATTATTCATAAGGGACCGCCTTTCCCCATATGTTCCCCCAAGGGCACTACGGCCGGGGACGCAACATCTCCTGGTGACTCCAGGCCCTAAAGATGCCAGATTTGTAGCAACCAGGGCCAGGGCCTTTTCAGTGGCGGCTCCTACCTGGTGGAACGAGCTCCTGGAGGAGATCCGGGCCCTGAGGGACCTTGCACAGTTCCGCAGGGCCTGTAAGACGCAGCTCTTCCGCCAGGCTTTTGTGTTGGAGCCGCCACCGCTGCACCGCCACCTGTCCAACACTCCGTCACACAGTGGCCAAAAATACCAGGTGATATCAGGAGGTCCAGCAGTGGGGCCAGGACACCAGGAGCCTTCACACCAGTGATGGTGAACCTTTTAGAGACCAAGTGCCCAAACTGTGACCCAAAACCCACTTATTTATCGCAAAGTGCCAACACGGCAATTTAACCTTAAGACGCTGAACTGCAGGCTGTGGAAGGTCAGTAGTTCAGCAGTTCAAGACCCGGGTGCCGCAAGACGGGGTGAGCTCCTGTCTCTAGTTCCAGCTCCTGCCAACCTAGCAGTTCGAAAGCAAGAAATTGCAAGTAGATAAATAGGTACCACTTCGGTGGGAAGGTAACAGCGTTCCGTGCGCCTTGGTGATCAGTCATGCCGGCCACATGACCACGGAAACGTCTTCGGACAGCGCTGGCTCTTCGGCTATGAAACGGAGATGAGCACCGCAACCCTAGAGTCGGATTCAACTGGCTTTCGATCAAGGGAACCTTTACCTTTACCTTTACTGAGGTTTTACTTTAGAGAAAACAACTCATACATTAACTTAACGCGTGTTCACAGAGAGGGCTTTTAGTGCCATCTCTGGCTCCCGTTCCATAGGATCGCCACCACTGCCTCACACTATTGACGCCCACCCCCCCAGCACCAAAAATACAGAGCATCACTCGCCCCGAAGTCCCTATCTAAACCTTGTGGCTAATAGCCACGGATGGACCTTTGCTCCATATGCTTATGTGATTCCCTCCTGAAGCCGTCCGTGCTTGTGGCCGCTGCCACCTCCTGTTCCCTGCGCTCCCACTGCTATCTGAGGCTGACACCAGACATGACACAAAAAGCACAGAATGGGCAGAGGAGAGGAAAAAGTCGCACCTCTTTCTAACCCTGTGTTCTTTTCGTGGGGGGGGAAGGGGGGGAGCAGTTTTACTGCCAGGAAGGGCAGTCACGGGGCCACAGTGTGTGTGTGGCTTTTAAAAAGTAGTTTCAAGGGAGACAGCGTTGGAGGAGAAAGGGTCCTTGTTCCCCTCTCCTGCACTTTAAGTCTTGCCCGCAAGACACAGGCCTGCCTTCTGGGGACTGGGCAGCGGTGTCATGTCAAGAAGAAGAAGAAGAGGAAGAGGAGGAGATTGGATTTATACCCCGCCCTTCACTACCCAAAGATGTCTCAGAGCGGCTCCCAAATTCCTTCCCCTTCCCCTCCCCACAACAGACACCCTGTGAGGTAAAAGAAGAAGAAGAGATTGGATTTCTACCCCGCCCTTCACTACCCAAAGGTGTCTCAGAGCGGCTGGCCGACTCCTTTCCCTTCCCCTCCCCCAAACAGACACCACGCGAGGTGTCTCAGAGCGGCTGACAGACTCCTTTCCCTTCCCCTCCCCACAACAGACACCCCGTGAGGGAGGTGGGGCTGAGAGAGCTCTTGACAGAAACTGCTCTTTTTCAAGAATAGCTCTTATCAGAACTACGGCTTGCCCAAGGTCATCCAGCAGGTGCAAGTGGAGGAGTGGGGGAATCAAACCCGGTTCTCCCAGATTAGAGTCCGCGCACTTAACCACTACACCAAACTGGCTCTCAAAACAAAAGGTCCAACAAGCAGACCTTCTTTAATCTTTGTGATACTGCAAAATTCCAGAAGGCACACAGCTCTCAAATACCTTCTTCCCCACTATCTGTCCAGTTCTCTTATGGGCTAATTCTACAGACCCATCCAAACTGCAAAAAAAAAAACCCAAAAGCGAGAGCCTGGCTGCCTGGCCTGTTTTGCTTGGGCCCTTTCTGCTGTTCGTCGATCTGAGTTTGGGGAGGTGGTTGATCCCAGGCTTTGCCACTTGTACAAGGGGAGGCATTGGGGGGGTGGCATTTCTAGTAAGATCACCAGTGTGGCAGGGTACAAGGCCATAGAGCAGCCGTTTTCTCCAGGGGAACTGATCCCTCTTGTCTGGAGATCAGTCGTAATATCAGGATATCTCCAGGTCCCAGCTGGAGGTTGGCAACTCTACCCTCTTCTGATCCTCTTCCCACCGGCAGCGGCACCTACTATTGCAAGACGTTCACAACACTGTATTTTTAAGGGTTGACGGTTCTGCTATTGAATGCTAAGTCAGCAAATAAGAAAACATCACTCGTCCAAGTTTTAATCCTGGATGAACATGCTAAACTAGGTGGGTTGGGGAAAGGGGCACGGATCTACCCCAGGGTTGTCAGCGTAACAGCAGTCCCCCACCACCACCACTTTGCAGCCAGGGTCTGACAAATGCAAGCTGACCACAGAATGTGAAGCTCCAGCCTTCTAACTTCAAGCTGTACACGGTGGCAGTTACCTTTGCT